TTCCAGGCATGGGCCTCTCCGCCGGCCGTCCCTTTCACAATGAGATTCCGGATACCAGCTTCATTCAGAAGCTTGTAAGCCAGAAGCGTGTATCCCTGACAGACCGCTTCTCCCGTTACAAGCCCGGAATAAGCCGTATAATTCTGAAGCTTTTGGTCATATTTCAAGTCCCGGACAATCCAGTCATGGACCGCTTTAACCTTCTCATGGCTGTTCATGCCCGGCACAAGGATCCGGCTTATAATTTCTTTGACTTGGCTGTCCACATAGGCCGTCTGTTCCGGTGTTTCCCGGTATGTAAATGTCACGGTCACATTAATCTGGGTGCTGCTTCCGCGCCAGGAATAATGATAACGATCGATAATATAACGCATATAAGGCGAGCCGTCCAAAGCTGTCATCAGCGCATCATCCAGCAAAACCTCAAAGTCTTTGACACTGCCTTCATATTTGAACTTTACCGTACTCTGATGATCCCGGACAGCTTCTTGTAGCCGTTAATACACCTCATACGACGTACTTCAGGTTCTTGTTGTCTTGTGTAGCGTGTACCAGCTCAATCAGGTTGAGGAACTCTTCGTACTCTATTGGACGACGAGCTGCCGACTGCACCCCTTCTCGACGAACCTCGAAGTGTTTCACTGTTTTAATGAGCTTGTTTACCAGCTGTGAGCGCGTAGGATTGCCTTCTGTTCGGATGGAGTCCCACGAAACAGCAATACGAGGCATAAAACTGGAAATCGCTTTCTTTGCGTAGGCAAGAGTTGAGGACCTAGCGCAAACAGGTTTGGCATCTTCGCCTGGATACGCTTCTCCGAAGGCACGAAAGTTCATCCATCTGCAGACATCCTCCGGCTTAACGCTAAGAAGCTCCTCGCTGCTGAACACCGTCTCCGTTGTGTAGGCCCGGCCATCATTAAAGCTCATGAACTCCACTAGGATTGCTTTGTAGCGTTTTGATGTCATGTTTGTAGTGGGTGCCGGCCAGCAAATCTCTTTGTGTTCAGCGTGCAACCGTGAGAGAAAATGCGTCATTGCATTTTTGTATGGGCGGGGTTGCATTTGCTAGCGATAATACAAACGCTCTATGCAACAAATCTAGCAAACGACACCATGATTCTTGCCGTAGTTCTTGCACCACAACTTGCCGATACTGCAAGATAACCACTTTCCAGCCAATGAGAAGTCAGAAATGCTAGAAAATACAACCATGGTTGCAAAAGGCCGATTACTCCGAGGTACAAATTTTATAGCAACAAAAATTATATGTGAGTGGCTCTAAAACAAACGCTTTCTTTAGAAACAAAGGGTTTATACGCCGCTCTAACCACACACGAGTGCACGCGATGATATGATCGATCAAAGCTGGCCACGACTCCCAACCCATGCAAACCTACAAAAAGCTGCTTGTAGGGTACCTAATGAGAGGCTTTCAAAAATGACTTAAGTACCAAAAGAAAACCGCTTCTATGTTGTGTACCATGTGTGTACAAAAGGCGTACCAAACGACGGTCAGACGCAGAGGACGTCTAACCAAACGCTAAGTTTGGTACGGACCAAACAATCGAATTAGAGGGGGCTCGCCTCAGCGTGTGCTTGAACAGCATGGGTCCTGACGAGTTCTACCAGTTTGCAATTTCACTGTAAGAGCGGGTGCGAAAGGCAAAGGGCACGACCAAGGGCAAGAACTTCACCACGTCTGAAGTCATAAGTAACAGATACGGTTAATCTACTGGTGTTTAATTCGCTAAGCTTATTCGCGTCTTTCAGGGAATGCTGAACATCGTTCAAGATATATTACCGCTCGGCTCAGAGCAGTGACAAAACGTTGCCTCTCAATTCAATACAAACATACCTAC